TGTAGTTCATCTGTTGGAAATGAACAGCAAAATGCCAATACTCCAAATAGTCCTTCTTCATGAATGAAAGGCTGTTTTGTTTTGTCCTGTTCCTGTTTAGATGTCCATACATGTGCTCACACTACATAACAAACCTGTTTGTCCAGGCTCAATGCCTTTCAGACTTTTATAGAGGGTTTTAATTTTGAATAAGCAAAATATGTCTTAAATGTGAAAAGGGAGGTTTGTTTCTACCCATAAGACTACCTGAAGGAATGCTGCCTTTGAAATATTCACATCTGCAAGGCATTTTGTTCAAGAAACCAAGGTATCTAAACAAATCATGATTATAAGAAAATTCTATAGACATAGCAGAGTAGCTATAAGCAGTAGGAAGAGCAGTAGAACCTGGGATAAGCAGTTCAGATTTTCTTTGCATAGAACAAGGCTTCCTTATATTGAACAAATCATTCTTATGCCCTGGGCTCCCAAGTGGTTGTGGGTCTTCTAAGAGATGGGTGGCACAAGATGAAACAGTAAGTTAAGGAGGAAAAAACAGAACCTTTTTTTTCAACCTAAAAGCTTAGTACTACTTAATACATGAATTGGGTCAATTGCATGGAAGGCAGTTATAGAATTGTGGTCAAAGCAAACTCTCAAGCTCGTCTACCTGGATTTGTGTTCTGACCCTACTATTTAAACACCATTGACCTTGGGAAAATTACTTCACCTTTCTGTGCCTCCATTTCATCACCTATAAAATTGACAATGCAATGAGTTGAACTCATAGATTCGTTATGAGGACTATATCGGTTAGTATCCATAAAGCATAGAACAGTGCCTGGTGCAAAGTAATCACTGTGCAAATATTTATCCCATTAAGTGGAATAAAGATTATGAATAGTCATTTCTGGCAAATTCATTATGTATTTGCTATAAATTATTTACTTATTATCCTAAGATCCTCAGACATGTTTAGAAGAAGAGACAAGCATAAAACACATTATTCTATTTTCAAAAGGAACTAATAAATTCAGTGTGAGTCAGTGGCTTATGCAAGTCATGGTGGGCCCCTAAATAGTACCATTTGGCAAAAAAGATACTCTCTACTGGTCAGAGCTGTCAATCTAGATAAAAAATAAAAGAAGAACTCAGTTCAGTCATAAATTTATATACTAAAAACACAGGAAATCACTGAGGTTCCTGTCTCAAGCATAAATTTGATTTCTCAGACCAATACAGTCAGAGTTTGTCTGCCACACCAAGAATCAGGGTCTCCAGGCATGTTTAGCTCCCCCAGTTACTGCCCCCAGCCCAGCTATTCAGATATATCTGGCAGTTGCTACATGGGGCAGCCCCTTTGGGAGCCCCTGACCACCCTCCACCTGGACACACAGAGAACCACTCCCATTCTGCCCTTTTCCCATCTGCCCGCTGCTGCTGCTGCTGCTGCTGCTGCTGCTGCTGCTGCAGGAAAAACTCCAGCCTTTAGACATGGAGTGGAAGCATCTGTGGAAAGCCCAGCAGCCAGAAAAACCAACAAGGTGGACCTCCTGCCCCCATGTGACCTTAATCAAATGGCCCCAATTTCTGGACTTCCCTTGATTCATTTCCATTAAATTCAGTCAGATTTATGTTCCCCCCGAATGAGTATTTTCTTTGGAAAAGGCAAGAATATTGGGTTGGGCACGGTGGCTCACGCCTGTAATCCCAGCACTTTGGGAGGCTGAGCCAGATGGATCGCCTGAGGACAGGAGTTCAAGACCAGCCTGGCCAACCCCGTCTCTACTAAAAATACAAAAATTAGCTGTGTGCAGTGGTGCGTGTTTGTAATTCCAGCTACCCAAGAGGCTGAGGCAGAATGTCTTGAACAAGGGAGGTGGAGATTGGAGTGGGCCAAGATTGTGCCACTGCACTCCAGCCTGAGCAGCAGAAAAAAAAAAAAAAGCTCAAAAAAAAAAAAAACAACAACAACAAAAAAAAAAACACCAAAAAAAAGAATATCTTAGATGAGTAAATTCATTCAATCTAATTGTTCTTCTCCTAATACCTAGTTGAGACTAGCCAAATCTGAGTCCAATTTTCACTTAATAAGCATGTATTGAACACGTCTGAATGTGCCAGGCATATTAAGTGGGCCAAATAAAGACCATAAAAAGCTTCATGGCAGCACAAATCAGGTTTTGCCACCAAGTGAACTTCCCCCATCTGCTGTGCAGAGGGGATGCATAGGGAGAGAAAGACAAACAAGCAATGGCAGAAGTGATAAATGCCATGAAAGAAGAACGAAAAGATACTGCCCAGCTTACAGCAGAGGAATTGAACCTGAGGTCATGGGAGAGTAACCCAAGCGGAGACCTGGAGGATGGGTTAATGTTAACCAGGAAGGTGACAGGAAGGTGCTCTAGGCCCCAGCGCAGAGATGGTGACTGCGGGGTCCTGGGGGCAGCCTGACCATGGAAGGTTTGACTGACAAAGTAAGTTAAGGAGGGAAAAACAGAACCTTTTTTTTCAACCTAAAAGCTTTGTACTATTTAATACATGGATTGACAGTCGATTGCATGGAAGGCAGTTATAGAATTGTGGTCAAAGCAAACTCTCAAGCTCATCTACCTGGATTTGTGTTCTGACCCTACTATTTAAACATCACTGACCTTGGGAAAATTACTTCACCTTTCTGTGCCTGCATTTCATCACCTATAAAACTGATCATGTAAACTTTGCCCAGTGAGATGACCCAGTGAAATGACTTTTAAGCAGGAGAATAGCCTGCTTAAAATTCAGCTGACCTGAATTTTAAACAATCCCTTTGGATGCAGTGAGAGAATGAAGTAGACAGATGGAAACCAACTAGGAATCTAAGAGTCTAGGCAAGGAGTAATAGAGGTTTAATCCAAGTGGTATCAGTGGAACTGGGGAGAAGTGGAGAGATTGAGACACCCAGCAGACAAAGCCATAGGACTCAGCAATGTATCATTTAAAGGAGATAAAGAGGAAGACTCCTGGCTTCTGGTTTGATCCATAAGATGGTTGGGGAAGACCTATACTGAGAAGCAGGGTTGGGGGTACGATGATGAGTAAGTCCAGAAATGCTGCTTCTGAGGTGCCAGGGAGACATCCAAGGGATGCAGCACCTGGATGCAGGAGACAAGTAGGGGAGACACACCCATCTGGAGCCATCAGCATCAAGGTTAATCACCTGGCAAGTGTGTGAAGAGTAAATGAGAAGACGACCAGCACTTAAGGGAGACAGGCAGTGGAACCGGGAGGCCAAGGAGACTATGAAGAAGCAAGCAGGGAGGTGGGAGGTGAGCAGGGTGAGTGTGGTGTCACAGAATCAAGGTCAATGAAGACACCGGCTAAACTGTCCCTGCATTTGGAGTCCTGTACCTCATTTGCTGGCTGCCTCAGTGAGAGTATTTCAGGGGAGGACTTAGGTGTGGAAGCCAGTTTGCAATAGGTTGAAAAGTGAATGGGAGGCAAAAAAAGAACTCCAAAGCACCAGGCAAATTTGTCAAGTAGTTTTTGGGCTATAAAAGGAAGAAGAAAGAGGGTGATGTCTGGGGGAGAACACGGGGTCAGGATGGTTTTTGTTTTGGGACCAAATAATTAAGTACATTTCAAAACTGATGAGAGTCTGTAAAGGAAGGACAGTTAAGGATGGGAGAGAGAGGGGATAATGAGTAAGAAGGTTCCTGAAATGAGCAGAGGGGCTGAGGTCCACAGTGGAGGGAAGGAATAACACTTCTTCCATGGTGGCAGGAAGGGAGGGGAGAGAATGGGTCTGACGTCTACAGGTGTACAGACTTTTGGTGGGACAGTAGAGTTCCCACTTAACGGCTTCCAGATGCTCTGCATGGTGGGTGGCAAATCAACTATGAGAGTTAACCAGTGGGCAGGGGTTGAGGTCTGAGAGGAGTGGAGAAGGTCTGAAAGGGCTGTTGTGTAGGAAAGAAGCATTGGCCTGGGTGACATGCTGAGCAGCATGCAGGTCCTGCCAAGGGTGAAAGCATGATCGACCCATGATGCAGCCTTAGAAGTGGTGCAGTGGGTGGCTGGCAGATGGCTGGATACATGCAGAGCTGAGGTGTGTCCTGGCAGGGGTATCAGAAGGACAATGAGGCTAAGGAGTTTAGGATATTGGCAGGAGGGTGGTTAAAGGGATGAGCCACGGAATATAGGCTGCATAGAAAAGGGAGTACAAGGAAGGAAGTGGCCAGTGGAGAAGGAGAAAGCCAAAGCAAAGGGACTTAAAGAGAGGAAGTGGGTAAATTTGCAGCAAGGAACACTGGGAGTTTCAGACAAAGTCAGGCTTGTGCAGCGAGGGGACACTGGGCTTACTGGGGATAAAGATAAAAGCAAACGAGACGATTTCTGCCAAATTAAACTACTTGCTAAGACCAGACTTTTCTCCAAGAAAATGGAAAGAAATGCAAAGAGCAGCATAGGGAATGAATGGACTTGTCATAACCCCTTTGTGATTTCTTTGTGATTAGGTAGGGCATTACACAAAGAATACAGAATCTGAATACATTTTTTAAAATCTTGCTTTGATTTCTCACTATAAAGGCTGCATTCCTAAAATGAATGACTTATGAGAGAAGAGACATGCTCTGCTAGAGGAAGACAGATGTTGCTAATTTGGGATTTGGTTTCAAACTCCAATCACCTCTCCATAAACTTACCACATGATTTAATAATGGGATTTTAAAAATAAAATGTTTATTGAGCACTTCCTACATGCCAGGCACTGAGAATGTTACATGTGGATTTCGTTCAATCACCATGACTCTGAAGCGTGTACTTGCATTGCCCCTATTTTACTGATGGGAAAACGGAGACTTAAAGAGGTTAAGTACGTTTACCGGTACTCTTAGTTTTTCAGCTAATGGTAATAATGCCAACTGCTACACTATAAGGCCTGAACCATAAAAATGATTTACAGTTCACCTAAATTCTAAATGATAATTTTGATTACATGAAGGATTTGATTTAAAGTGTTAAAAAATCTCAATACAAACCTATATTTCTCTGAATTAGCATGCACTCCTTCTCCTTTGTAGAAAAGTGGCTTCTGCTCGAAATGCCAAAGTCAAAGCAGTACTTATTCCTCCCCATGTCAAACAAAGTGCAGTTAAAAATGGTCCGTCTCTCTCCCAGGGGCAGGCTGTTTTCAGCCAAATGAATGGTCCTCTTCCCAGGGGATCTGGGGGCCTCCTTGAAGACAGTGACCACTCCTTGCACGAAGGTGCATGGTGGAGGCAGCACCATCACCTCCACCCCGGACTCGCATGTGAGTTCTGGTGCCATCATCAGTTTGTATCCAAATTTCCGGGCCAGGTCAATGGGTCCTGTGGAGGTAATGACCGAGTCTCGCCCAAGCAGCTTCAGCACCACGGTAACATACGCTTCCGTCCCCACAGGTGCACAGCCAAACTCAACCCACTGACCTTGAGCAAGTTCTGTCCTTTTGCTGGTTCTTATTTCCAGCAGCTGTCCTGAATTTCTCCTTGATTCAGGAAGACTGTTGGTGAAGATGACATCCACTATGATGTCAGGCTTGTCCACAAGAAATGGGCACAGTGGTTGACTGGTAAATAGGCCCACTTGGAAGGTGCCTTCTGCTGCCTTGGAGCTCCTGTTCAAGTCAATATGAAACACAGGCCATTCCACCTTCAGAAAGGCACTTTTCTCCCACCAGGGGAATGGAGTGCTGTTGTCTGTTGCTTCTGGACTCATTGTGAACTGGTAGTCACCAGCCTCCTTGAAGTAAAAGCATTCAAACTTGAGTGTTCCCTGGGACTGATTGGTCAGGAAGTACTTAGTAGTTATGGTCTGATTGGTGTTGGCCTCCAACAGCAGGACAGATACATTCCTCAGCGTCCCATTAGCACCATCAAAATACTGGAAATCCACATACACGGTGTCATTGCTTAGTGCTACATGGCCTGACTCTCTCAAGAGAAGATATTCAGCTTCTCCAAGAACTGAAATGAAGTGGTCAGAATTGGTTTTTAAAAGGTGCATTTGAGCAGAACTATTAGTGACATTGATGAAAACAGAATTTTTAATTTTTTTTCCAAGACAGGGTCTCACTCTGTCACCCAGGCTAGAGTGCAGTGGCACAGTCACTGCTCGCTGTACCCCTAATCTCTTGGGCTTAAGTGATTCTCCCACCTCACCCTCCAAAGTAGCTGGGACTACAGGCACATGCCACCACACCCAGCTAATTTTCTTTTTGTAGAGACTGGGTCTCACTATGTTGCCCAGACTGTTCTCAAACTCCTGGGCTCAAGCAATCCTTCCACCTGACTCCCAAAGTGCTAAGATTATAGACATGAGCCACTGTACCCAGCAGAAAACAGCATTTTAGATAAGAGAAGTTAGAACACAGCCAGGGATGATGTGAAATTATACTGAGTACAGATCCTGGAAGCTGGCCACTGCATTCTTTGCACTCTGAAGTGGTTTCGTTCCTTCATCTTCATCTTTCATAGTTATGTTTAAAATGACTAGTGGTAAATACTCTGAATTCACAACTTTCGACAATGTGATATAACTGCAATGAAAATCTATACAACTAGAATAATAATTTTCGTAATTAAAAACCCAATATCTCATATTATTAATCATATTCTGGTGGTTGATATTTGGGGAAAATGGATACACACTGAAGAGAAGGCTGGATTTAAATGATACAATACAAATTGTTCTGGATGATTTTAAATGTAAGACCCTAAATTTACTTCAAAGTTGTTATTTTCTGATATTCAAGACAAGCACTGGGAAATTTTTACTAGTAAAGGAATCAGTGTCCTCAGTTTGTGTGAGGCAGAAATGTTTAGATGGATAAGAAATGTTGACACTTTATTCTGCATGAATAACCAAAGGGATAGGGTGAACATTTATGAAATAACTAGGATTATCCTTGGCAATTTAATGTATTTGTCTAGATAAGACAGATGACTACTACTTCCCAAGTATCATTTTGTTAGGATCAATCATATCTTTTAAAAGGAGACCCAGCAGAGTACTTAAGTGAAAAGTGCAAAGAACAGACACACAAGAATCCTTGTTTCTATTTTGAATCCTATCCAAATACATATCAAAGGAGGCAGAATTTGGCAATTCAACAGTCAGCTGGCCCATGGTTAGAGTAAAAAACAGTTCTAGATGTAAGGGATTGAAGTGCCCTTTAGATTTGAAAAACAACTTGTGTAAGTATGACTTTATTATTATTATATATGCCTCATGCATATATATGTCCAAAGGAGCCCATGTGTTTTTTGTTTGGGCTGGCAGTCTTTAAAATACCCTTATAGATATATGCAACCGATGATTATTAGAATCAGCACATTAATATCTTGGCACACAGAAGAGTTTTTAATTAGCGTAGCATTTCACCTAGTTCTCATTTCAGATTAGGTGAAATAAAAGACATAAAACTTGGATGACTTGAATGCTTGATTATCACTTGTTTGAAAACCATAATGGGATAAAGTTTTTTTTCTCCAATTAAGCAAAACAAGTTGAGGGATATTCCCTTTCGAGATGATTCAAGGTGGCTGATTCTGGTGCAGCTTGCATACTGGTTCAGAGCCAACCTGGTATTTTTCTTGAACTAGTGGGTAAAGAGACCCCAGCACTTATCACAGTACAAGCAAGTGCTTAAGACTGAGAAAAAAGTCATGTTAATTTCAATCTGAAGGGGACAGGATGGTTTTGTGGTGCATTTAAGAATAAGAGGCATACACCACTCAGCTAACTAATAAAAGTCTACTGCAGGCTGGTCTGATGGTAGCAGGTTATCGGAACTTATTAACATTAATGTCACTAAAGTTAGGTATATGACCCCTAACTACTAAATTTGACTGGCTAAACAAAAAAAAGTCTATTGTGTATGACAGGGATTGTCAATTCAATGAAGCAGATCAGATTCTGATTTGATGGAAGCCAGTCAATGAGAAAGGCACACATGCCCAGTTGGAAATGAAGAACAAAGATGCAACAGGTGGGTTCCAGCAGCAGCAGATAGGAGGTATGGATTAAAGGGAGAATTTGCTACCTTAGAACTCCTGTTAGAAAACTGCAATTTGGGCTAGGCACGGTAGCTCATGCCTGTAATCCCAGCACTGTGGGAGGCCGGGGAGGGTGGAACACCTGAAGTCAGGAGTTCGAGACCCGCCTGGCCAACATGGTGAAACCCCATCTCTACTAAAAATACAAAAATTAGCTGGGCATGGTGGCAAGTACCTGTAATCTCAGCTACTTGGGAGGCTGAAGCCGAAGAAGTGCTGGAACCCGGGAGGTAGAGGTTACAGGTAGCCAAGATTGCACCATTGCATTCCTACCTAGGCCAACAACAGTGAGACTCCATCTCAAAAAAAAAAAAGAAAACTATAATTTGGTTCTACCACATCCTGACTACTATAGTATACGGGTAATGGTATATTTTGATCAGTATTGAGTAGAGATAAAGCGGGGAAAAACAGATCTATGACAATACCTACTTTTTTTTTTTTGAGACAGAGTCTTGCTCTGTCACCCAGGCTGGAGTGCAATGGCGTGATCTCAGCTCACTGCAACCTCCACTCCCTGGTTTAAACAATTCCCCTGCCTCAGCCTCCCAAGTAGCTGGGATTACAGGCACATACTACCATGCCAGCCTAATTTTTTTGTCCTTTTAGTAGAGATGGGGTTTCACCATGTTGGCCAGACTGGTCTCGAACTCCTGCCCTCAGGCAATCTGCCTGCCTTGGCCTCCTAAAGTGCTGGAATTACAGGAATGAACCACCACGCCCAGATGACAATACCTACTTTCTCATCAGTGGCCTGTGCACTTAACTTCTATGCTCTAGTTTATGCTCATTCAACTTTTATTTTCATATTCCAGTAAGAAATTTTGCTCTTAACAACAAACACCCTTGTATACTTTGTTTAAATGGAGAATTTCGATGCTTTATTTATCGTTATGAAACCAAGGACACATACTTTTTTATAGAAGGCTGTTACATGTACAGCAATCTGTTTTTAAGAAGGGTTAAATTACTTTAAAATAAATGAATCCTACATTGGCTTTCCTTAAATCTGGCATCTTCTTGTATAAATAAACTTCTTAAAAAAGAAAAGACTGAGAAAGGGGGTCTACTGAATGAAATGAACAGCACATGCTCTGATCCATTTAACTGCTGTGCCACTCACACAAGCCAGTGTCCTCTATACCTTGGATCACAATTTCTTCACCAAATAAAAAAAACAACTTCCACTCCCATACCATCAACTGCTTAGATGTCTATGAAATATTTGGAAATCATCAAAAGAAAAGTAGTAAAGTAGTGAAGATTATGTCATATTGTTGACTCTATTGGTTCAGTAGTTGTGTAAAACTCTCTGAGAAATGAACTCAATTTTTAGTTGAAATGAACTTAAAGAACAGACTTTAAGCACCTACTCTCTGCTCATTCAGGGCGTTTCACATTCTTGATATGATCTTAATAACCCTGTGAAGTCAATATTATTGCTGAGGTTGAAAGAGATTAAGAAACTTGTTTCAGGCCGGGCGCGGTGGCTCAAGCCTGTAATCCCAGCACTTTGGGAGGCCGAGGCGGGTGGATCACGAGGTCGAGAGATCGAGACCATCCTGGTCAACATGGTGAAACCCCGTCTCTACTAAAAATACAAAAAATTAGCTGGGCATGGTGGCGCGTGCCTGTAATCCCAGCGACACAGGAGGCTGGGGCAGGAGAATTGCCTGAACCCGGGAGGTGGAGGTTGCGGTGAGCCAAGATCGCGCCATTGCACTCCAGCCTGGGTAACAAGAGCGAAACTCCGTCTCAAAAAAAAAAAAAAAAAGAAACTTGTTTCAGAGCACCCAACATTCAAGGATTGAAATAGTTAGATTGGTTCCAAAGATACCAAAACTCTGTCAAGTGAAATCTTATGTAGAACCCTAATATACGCAACATAATTGCATGTGTATATGAGGTGATTTATCACACTGAATTCTTGGGAAATTAAAGAGAACTGAAAGTAACATGCTTGCTTCCTATTTGTTAAAATTGGAGAGAGTCTTTTAAAATTTTTTTAAAGGGTTAAAAATATAAAGTGAAATTTGAATCAATCATGCAGAATCATAGAAGCATAAGGGAACCCAGGGTTGCAAGGATCACAGTTCAGAAAGCACTGAACTGTAGACCCTACCCTGTCTCCTTCATGAAGAGTCATCAACATCAATGCATTTATAAATGTCACATTTATGTTTTATTGCTACCAAAAGCATTAAGTATACTCACAATACTCACCATAGTCACAGAGCACCATCAACAATAGATTTGAAAAGTCTTTCAACATTGGTTTCATTCTGATCAGCAAAATCCCAGGTCTTTAGTCTCCTCATGTCCTTTCTCACGTCCAAATTGTGATTTTTTTCCCCCAAAACACCTGAAATTAGAACCTCAAAAACTGATGGCTTCATTCAATGTGATTGACAAAATAGTAGTCATGAAATAACAAAACCATTCTAAAACTCAAACTGCCTATGTGATATTAAAAGGAAGCTAGAGAGGACACTAATTTTCCCTGGGGCAATGACTTACAATTATACAAGCCCCTTTCATTCCATTATAACTCACTGATCAAGAATATGCAGGTATGCCCAACACCCGATAAGATTATCTTTGCAAAACACCAAAGTCTCTTCTCTTTATGGCGCAATAAACTCTCCTTAAGTGGAGAGTTTATTGTTATTTGCTTAATTTTATCAAAGTTAATAGCCAAATTTGATACTAAGTTTTCACAGTATTTATCTCCTTGGCATTTCACATTGATAAATTTGCTAAATTTTTTGCCAAACTTTCACTTAGCATTGTGCTATGTACACCCACGTGCTCCCTGCCTGGTGTCCGCAAATGCGCTAACATTCCTTGCAAAACTGATGTGTTACCAGGATTGCTTCATTTATTGACTTCTGGGAACTACATCCAAGTGATCAAAGCTTTTTTTAAAAAAAAGATACCCCAGAATACTACAATTAAATGTGAACTCCATGTGGCCCTGACTTCCCTTGCTTAGGGCAGTCTAAGGGAAAAACAGATAAATAACAATCATCTTCATCAGTTCTGCAATTCTTGTTGCTGCTGGTATGCATCAGGAGATAGGTGATTCACACAGCAATCTTCCCAGTCTACCTGAAAGGGCAGGGAAGACCTTGCTGGCCTGCGGTTCAGAGTTATTTGTTGGAAGAGGCACTTATTTTGATACTGACTATTCAACTATAGAATAAGATACTGGGCATTTAAGACAGTTCTTTCATACTACAGTCTAGCAAACTATTAGTTATTAATATTAAATATAACCAAATATATATATTTCTTAGTGTTTACATTCCCCCCATTACTCACAGTTAATCTCTCTCTCTTTTTTTGGGGAGGGACAGAGTCTTGCTCAGTCACCCAGCCTGGAGTGCAGTGGCCTGATGTTGGCTCACTGCAACCTCTGCTTTCCAGGTTCAAGCGATTGTCCCACCTCAGCCTTCTGAGTGATTGGGATTACAGGTGTGCACTACCACACTTGGCTAATTTTTGTATTTTTCGTAGAAAAGTGGTTTCACATGTTGGCCAGGCCAGTCTCGAATGCCTGACCTCGTGATTCGCCCACTACAGCCTCCCAAAGCATTGGGATTATAGGCGTGAGTCACCGCACCTGGCCCACAGTTAATCATTTTAATGAGCAAATATATTATATTCCAAATACATATTACATCTCTTCAGAGAAGAACACAAATTAGTAGGATTAAGAAGACTGATTGAAATAAGCCAAAATTCAACAGAAAGGAAACTGGTGTGTCTCTATTAGCTTTCTTTCAGTAAGAACTGGTTGAACAAAGGAAATACTGTACTTCCTGAAAGGGAAGCAGAGATTTGAAGTGTAACTATGCAGATGATTAGGGCTCCCTCCTCTTCCCTGCCACCCCTTGCCAAAAAAAAAAAAAAAAAAAAAAAAAATTCTGTTTTGGATGGAATTAGCCACAGATTTGATCCAATTCTTTCCTTGAACACAGACTGGGAAACCTGGCCAAAGACAGCTGGTGAGATCCTTAGAGAATGCATCGTATCTCTTGGGCAAGTGTTAGCACTTAGGACAATTACAATGCTTCTTTTAAATCATTGAGACCTGGTAACCAAACTAAGAAGAAGCAAGCTCCCAAAAGTTGAACTGATTTCTCTCAGATTTGTTTGCTTCCACCACAATAACCTTTTCATTTTTTAAGCCCCAAATAGTAACTGATTTTGTGATTATAACACATTTTTTCTCTTATGAAAATGATCAGTAAACATAGAATTGTGAGATCATCCATATTGTGAGCTGAATGAAGACATAAAACAAACCAGCCTACTTATCCATCGTAATATGGATTATGGTCATAATCATAACATCATAGTAGTGACATGTCTCTTTAATTTCTACCTTGCTTGCTTATTTTCTTTCAACATGTTCTTCCCAAAACCCCAACTGACTTCTTACAATGTTTGGCTCAATAATTGTTCTAAGAAATTAAGAACTTAGGTATGCTTTATACACTTTTGAAAATACGTCTAGATAGCATTCTAGTATGCAAACTTTATAGAAAAATTCTAAATGCATCAGCTGAGAAGGTGGGGAGAAGCTGTGAATATTCTCAATGGCTAACAGCATCCCCCAACCTTAGTGTTTTTGCTGAAACCAGCTAGGACAAACGCTTCTAAATCTCCCTTCATAGCTGCAGAAAAAGAAAATGAATTACACTAATGTCGACGGGACCAATAATTCGTGAAAGAATAAAAGGGAGAACGAAGCAGTTACTTTGTCCCTTCTGACCAACATGCACATCCTCGTGTGTATATCTAGGAATCATATCTATTGGGAGGAAATCTCTAGTTCCAAAGCAGCTCGTGTAAACAGGCTTTATTTATATGTTCATTCGAGTCTGCTCTGCCCCGGTCCCACGGGTTGGTTGCAGCGTCCCTGGGACGCCGTGCGCTCGCCCCATCTACTCAGCTTCGCAAACCCAGTTCATGCTTGGAAATCTATGCCTCGTGTCGTCAGCATAAAGCCCTCTTAATGAAGACCGTCTTGAATTTAATTTAATGCTTATATCTCATACTTTCTGTATCCCAGAAAGGATTTCTTTTTGGAAAGAAACAGTAGCTCAAGACGCAAATTTTCAAGGTTCTGTGGCCAGTCTCAGTCACTCGGCAACATCTGAGCTAGGAGAAAGCCATGTTCCGTTAAAGTCGGGTGTGGAGACCGACACCCCCTTAAAGCGTGCTCTGGGGCCGAGGCGGGTGTGTGGGGGGGCAGCCACCGTCCACCTGCGCCTTCGGGCTGCGGGGAAGTGGCAGGGCCCGGGAGCATTTCCCAACCCCAGCAGAGCCGCGGAGGGTCTTGAGGTACAGGAGCGCCCGCTAGGGCGCTGGCACCGGGATGCGGAGGTCGCTTCTTACCTTTCAGGACTGGCAGGCAGCGACCCCAGGCTGGCCGGGCGAGTGGCGAGGCAGACGGGAGGCCTCAGTGGCCGCGAGGCAGCGCGCCCAGCATCTCGCGTCTCGGAATGCGCGCCCGGACCCCGCGGCGCTCGGCTCCCACTGCCCCGCCCGGGCCCGCCTCCGACGGCGTGGGGAGGGCGGGCACCGGGAGGGCGGGGGGCATTCGGGACCGGGTGTGGTCGGCTCCCGCCCCTTCTGGGCAGCGCATCCTTTCCTGCCCGCCCCCAGCTCGCCAGCTGCTGGACAGGAAACAGGCAGGAAACGCGCGAGGCCAGCCAAGGTCCTGCGGGAGGGGGTGCGGCCCTGGCAGTCGCAGGTCTCCCCAACGCACACCGGCGTCCGCAGCCCACGGCCGGACCTGGGGTTTTAAGGACAAGCAGCAATCTCCTGACACTTCACATTCAATCACTTCTCCCCTAGTGTCATTTTCTTCTGGGAGACCACAAAAATAAGTCCTTGAAGTGGCACAGCATGTGGTTGTAAATTTGCTTTCCCAAATGCCATTGAAGAGTTTCAAAAGACCATAGTTCAGGTAAAGTACATCTCCATTTCCATTTTCTTTCCCTGGGATCAGAATTGGTTATTAAAAATAACTAAACATTGAAAAAACTCTAATGTGAATTACTTCAGTCACTATGGAAAGCAGTTTGGAAATTTCTCAACTCAAAATAGAACTATCATTTGACTCAGCAATCCCATTACTGGGTATATACCCAAAGCTAAATAAATCATTCTACCAAAAAGACACCTGCACTCCTGTTTATCACAGCACTATCCACAATAGCAAAGACATGGAATCAACCTAGGTGCCCATCAACAGTGGACTGGGTAAAGAAAGTGTGGTATATACACACCATGGTATATTATGCAGCCATAAAAAGGAACAAAATCATGTCCTTTGTAGCAACATGGATACAGTTGGAGGACATTATCCTAAGTGAATCAATGTAGGAACAGAAAACCAAAAACCGTATGTTCACACTTACAAGTGGGAGCTTAAACAATGGGTACTCATGGATATGAAGATGGCAACAACAGACACTGGAGACTCCAAGTCAAGGGAGGGAGGGAGAGGGGCAGGGGCTGAAAAACGTCCTAGTGGATACTACGTTCATTATCTAGGTGACAGGATCAACAGAAGCCCAAACCTCAGCAACATGCAGTTATCCTTGTAACAAACCTACATATGTGCCCCCAAATCTAAAACTAAAATTAACCAAAAAAATTAAGCTTTTTTGAAAATGAGAGGATTCCACCTTAGCAGCTGTGCTTGTTAAATTGAGTAATGTGCAATATGGTTTACCACTTGCTTTTCTTTTATGCAGAATATACCATTTGACAGCAAAACTAATATCCAATAATGGAAATCAGAGCACAGCAGTGGCCTTTGGAGAGCGGGTGACTGTAAAGAGGCACCAGGGAACTCTTAGGAGGTGACAGATATGTTCTCTTGTTTCGGGTGTGAGCTACATGGATTTACTATTTGTTAAAGCTCATCTGGCTGAAAATCTGTGCATTGCAATTTGTAAACTTTACCTCATTTTAAAAATATTTTAAAATAAGTGATTTGCAGGTCTTTGACTCTATCACTTCATTTTTTAAAAGGTAGCACAAGTATTTACTTATATGTTACCAGAGGTATAAAATTTTCTAAGAACTTATCTTGTCAGCCAGGTGTGGGGGCTCATGCCTGTAACCCCAACAATTTGAGAAGCCAAGGCAGGGGGATTGCTTGAGCCCAGCAGTTTGAGACCAGCCTGGGCAAAATAGTGAGACTCCATTGCCACAATAAATAAAAAATTATTTGGGAGGCCAAGGGGGGTGGATTGACTGAGCTCAAGAGTTCAAGACCAGCCTGGGCAACATGGCAAAACCCCATTTCTACCAAAAATACAATAAATTAGCCAGCTGTGATGGCACGTGCCTGTGGTCCCAGCTGCTTGGGAGGATGAGGCAGGAGGATCTCTTGAACCCAGGTGGAGGCTTCAGTGAGCCGAGATGATGCGACCGCACAGGCTGGGCGAGACCCCATCTCAAAAAATAAAATAAATAAAAAACTAGCCAGATGTGGTAGCATGTACCTGTTGTCCCAGCTATTTGGGAAGCTGAGGTGGGAGAATGACTGAGCCCAAGAGGTTGGGGCTAGAAAACAGTGATGAAGCCACTGCACTGCACTCCTGCCTGGGTGACAGAGTGAGAACCTGTCTAAAAAAAAAAAAAAAAAAA